ATAGAAGAGGTCCACGAAACCTTCAAGATTTGAAGACTGTTTGTGTGGAAGAATGGGCCAAAATCACACCTGAGCAATGCATGCCACTAGTTTCTCCATACAGGAGGCGTCTTGAAGCTGTCATTGACAACAAAGGCTTTTGTACAAAGTATTAGATAAATTTCAGTAAGGGTGTTCAATACTTTTTCCCTGTGCCATTCCACATTATTACAAATAACTTCATTTCTGGACATTTATGGTTTGATTTCTTTGTATGTATGGATCACTTGGGTTGTTACCAACATCTGGTGAAAATTTCATGTCATTAGCGCCTCTAGTAATATATTTACTGAGAAAAATGGTGACGTGTTCAATACTTATTTTACCCGCTGTATATCAAGAGCCAAAAATGTTTTCAAAGCTTCTGTGCTGCTAGGATGTCTTTCCTAATAAAAAGCTTTCTTCTTGTTTTTTATTTGAATTTCAATTTCTAAAACCTCTTCTRCTATCTTTTCTCCTCCAGTCTGTCTTCCTTTCTGTAAATTATCTCTCAAATTATCTCCTTGTCATATTTACATTTTAATCATAAGTTTTTTTTTTACCATCTGTCTCATCTTTTCCCGAGGAATAAATCCAGCTCGCCAACTTTTAATGGAAATCCGCGTGTTTAAATGTTTGCTTTCTCGGGCAGCGCAGACAATTATCAGTTATGCTGCTGCAATTATGCTGGAATCGCCTTTAAAAAGCAAATCCATGTGTCACTTTAATCAGTTTCCAAATGACTTTGATGTAAAAGGCAGAGTGTAGCTTTGGTTGGAGCCTGATATGAGCGCATGTGTGAGACTTGCCAACTAATTAAGTGTTTATTCGTGTCTCCCTGACACGTCCCGTGTCTCCCTGTGTGAGTTCAGTGTTCGGTGTTTCAGCGTTACACTTGAAGCTTGAATGGAAAATGTCGTGCCTGCAGGAAACATTCAGTGTTGGCCAGTCTGCTGGTGCACAGAGCCCATTAGTCTCTCAGTCCGGATGACACGTTATCAGCCTGCTGAAATTACCATCCAGTCCTGGTATTCTAATGCAAATGATGAGCTCTCACTCTGGGGGCTTTTCTTTTTCTTCCCTTTCAGCTTCTCGGCTGTCTGCAGCGCTGCCAGTTCACTCCTTCACCTGTCTGACTGAAACAGCTCGCTGCTTCCTGTGTCTGCTCGCCCTTTCCCTTTCTGCTCCATTCACGTCTCTTTGGGTTTCTGTCCGGTGGAATATCAGCACATTATTAATGATTCAGCAATGCTTTGTTTTTATTTACCCACGCATCCACGTCACASATACAGCGGCTCTGCTGACCACTGAGGCTGCACGTCGGGCTTCGTCTCTCCTCAAAGGCAAAGCAGGAAGCCTGACTGACTGACTTCTTTCTCTTTGTGCAGCTTTTAGAGTTCGAGTAACAGAAGACAAATCAGYTGAGTTGGTTTCAGGTGACCACATCCTTAAAAGTGAATGGCTTCTGGGAGAAGTGCGACCTGAAGTTTTAGTTTTAATTTAATGGGACTGAATTTGTCTTGGATTTTGCCAGATAACAACACATTGCAGTTTCACTTTATATAGACCCCAACTGAAAGATTTAAATRTGAAAAAGAAGGATTCAAAAGCATCACATGTTCATCCAGGGGGAAGTCGGAGTAGAGCCGCTGCTCCTCCACATCGAARGGAGTCAGTTGAGGTGGTTCMTCTGATTAGGAYGCCTCCCTTTAGAGGTGCTTCCATGACCCACTGGTAGGAGGCCCCAGAGAAGACCCAGGACTCACTGAAGGGTATCCTCTCTGGCCTGGGAACGCCTCGGGGTCCCCCAGGATGAGCTGGACAGTGAAGCTGGGGACAGGGAGGTCTGGGTTTCTCTCCTGGACCTGTTGCCTCTGCGACCCGACTACAGATAAGCAGAAGAAGACAGAGATATGTTCAATTTAAACAGCTGAAGTGACTGAAAATAAGTCAAGAAATGTGACAAACATGGAAGATCAGTTTGTGATCAAGAAGTCTGACATTTTTAAAGTATTACATGTTTACGCTCAAACTGATTGAGCAAAATGCAAATAAAAATGCCAACATTTCAGAATTTTCCATCATAAAACTGGAAAAACACAGTTTATTCAGAAGAACTTCTTTCATGTTTAATTTGATAGTTTTCAATGCCTACTTTTAAAACTCCATCTCCTTCCCCRCTCACTGAGTGAGAATAAAAGCAGGTTAAATGAACTACATGTTGCCAGTCCGAAGGGAAGTTTCCTGGAAACCAATTTTCTTTGTAATTTGGTACCAATCAGGGAAAATAGCAGAGTGCTCAATTAGTACAATTCCAGTTAATCAAGTCCAATTATTGCCGGCGCAGCCTCAGGAGTCTTTCACACAATAAACATAACGTCAGTAGTTGGTTGTATTTAAATTGCCTTTAATTGTACAACTGTTGTCTGAAAATGTTCAGTGTGGGGATATTGTGCCTCAAAGTCCTTATCTATTATTTTTTTATACAAGCCTGTTGAGTGTCAGATTCTCTGGGCTTRCCTCAGACTTTTAATTTTTTAAAATAAAACCATTTTGGAGCAGAACAGCTAAAGAGCAGCTGTGTTGGTTTACAGCACAAAATGTTCACTCAGATTTTATTCAGTGGCGACATTTTCTGTTTGTATTTCCTAAATTTGCCTTGAAACCTGATGACTGGATATTATACACACTTGGTGTGTGACAACGGCATCTGTTGAAGCTGTTGGAAAAGGATTGATGGCAGAAGACTTTAAAGATACTGCCAGCATAATTTATTGAGAATAAAACAAAAAAGTCTTTTGGTTGTGGTTCTGCTCATTTATTTATATATATA